TATATATATATATATATATATATATCTGTGTTTATTTTCTGCATTACGGGATTCTCTGTGCACGATTTAAAATGGATGAAAGAGCGAAGTTCAAAAGCAAATACAAAGTAAACGAATTTTGAGAAACAAAAAGGGACAAAAATTGTTTCCTCATGAAAGGGGGAGGGTGAAAGAAGAAACAAAAAAACGAAAAGAAGAATAATGAATCAATGTGCAACGTAAGAGAGGGAGAGAGAGAGAGAAAAGAATATGAAACGTCATTTAAGTGAACCAAAATAGCTCAAATTATATTTACTATATATATATATATATATATATATATATATATATAGTAAATGATTAAGTGGCTTGGCTCTGTTTGCACGTCTGTGTAGCTTTGGGGGTATTAAAGGAAGAAGATATCGAGGAAACACAAGAGAAAGAAAAACGAAGATGATTGGGAATGTAATTGAAAGAGAGAAAAAAAAAAGAGCATAGTAATGGAGGCAACAAAGTGAGAAAAATAAAGGTATATTTGATTTTTTTTCTTCTTCTTTGTGTATGTGTTTTTTTTATAACATATAACACCCCAATATAAGCAAAGAGTAACCAAAGAAGAGAAAAAAAAAGACATGGGCGAAATACACAGAAAAAAGTAAGACCGTATGAGATTCATAAATATATATTTATATATTGATATGTTTGTCTTTTTGTTTGTGTGTGTGTGTATGCTATACAAATGTGAACATGTGCGTTCTACGAGAAATATTTATAACTTTACATTCGCATTGTTCATGGCAGGCATTTATTTGTTTTTCTTTTAATGCATGCAAACACTGTATGCGTCTGAAGATTAAATGGGAAGCCCGTGTGCACAGCAATCAATGAAAAAGAAAGAAAAGAAATAACATTGGACCGAAGGGTATATTTGGGATGAAGTTAATTTATTCATTCAATGGGGCTAGTCACACGTGCGTTTCATTCTATATCTGTGTTTTTATTCGTTCTTGCTTATATATATATATATATATATATATATATAACTTTATTATATACACTGTTTGTACTTTTTTTCTTGCTTTCTTAATTGATGGATCTACCAAAAAAAAAAAAAAATCTTTTTCTTCTAAGCCATTCCATATATATATATCTATATATCCATACTCCTTAGTATGTACTATGTATCTCTTGTTATTTTCCACTTGATCCCATCAATGTGTGCTTTTATGTATTTTTTTCTTTCTTTACCCTTGTGTGAATGTAAATACGGTGGATCTTTATTCACAATTGAATAGATCCAAACATACATTTACACATTGATCTCGTTCTTTTATTATCTCTGGTGTTTCACCACAGTGATGAGAGTCGTGGATTGCTCTGAGGGAAAGAAAGTTTGTCTGCACACGAATGAGTTTTTCTTTTCTTTTTTGTAATGGGGAGAGATGCCGTTTAATTATTATGGATGGTATCTGCGGTGGAATAAAGACCCTGCATTGTTTTTTTTTTTTTTTTTTTTTTTTTTCTT